TGAGGTTTCTTCCTTTTTAGTTTTTAACATTTATTTATTTTTAGTTTTTTGAGATAAGAGCTTGATATAAAGTTCAGGACTTGAACTCACTATGTAGCCTAAACTAGCCTCAAACTTACAATAATCCTCCAGCCTCATTCTCCCAAGTACTGGTGTTACAGGCATGTGCCACCAATCCCCCCTTACACATGCTTTTAATTTAAGAACTATACAGAAAAAAAAAATCAATGTAGCCACTGTGCAGCTTAAGAAATGAAGTACTTAGGGGCCGGGGAGATGGCTCAGTAGAATAAGCGCTTCCCTGGCAATCACAAGGGTCTGAGTTCAATCCCCGGTTCCACAAAAAAAAAAAAAAAAAAAAAAAAAAAGGGGAGGGGGCCGAGGAGATGGCTCAGTAGCATAAGCACTTGATTGGCAAATGCAAGGATATGAGTTCAATCCCCGGTTCCGCCAAAAAAAAAAAAAAAAAAAAAAAAAGAAAAAAAGAAATGAAGTACTCAGATGTCTCAGAAGCCCTTGGCTCTCTCTTCTTGGTTCCAGTGGAAATGGTGTGCTGACTTCTGGGGGAGCCACTTTCTTTCATTTAGCAGTGTTCTACAGGCCCCTGACTAGCCAACTTGGTGTGCCTTCATACTTGCAAGGGCAATACTCCTTTTGAGGCTTCCTGCACTCCCATTATCTCTATGGGATTCAGGGGCCCATAGCACACTGTGATCTCAGCTTTCCACAGACTGAACTCTATTGGTGGAGGCCGGTACTCTCATAGCCTAGGATCTGAGGAATACTCCTGTGCACAGAGTGACCACAAAGTACAAATAAGCAGTAACTTCTGGGGAGGCCTGCTATACCTCTCACCCTTGCGGGACCCAAGTACTTGCACACTGTAGGTGCTCTGCAGCATGGGGCAGGTTTAATATGCTAGGCTATTTTTTCAATCAAGTTGTATAAAACAAATATTTGTTATAAACTATTATAACAAAAGTATTGACCTTACCTTGAATAAATGGAATATATCGTGCCAGCAGCTTTGCCCTTTTCTTTTCATATCCCTTTTGCGTGATATCACCTAAAACAATGGAAAAGCAAGATCATACTTCTTCTAAAATTCCAACATTATGGCTGGCCTAATAGCTTAGTGGACTAAAGCATGTGCTTAAGCAGAGCGCAGCAGCCGGGGGTCAATCCCCCCCGCGTGCCCTGCCAGCCCCATCCCTGGGGTGCACTGAGACAGTGATTGAGACTGGGCATGGTGGCATGCGCCTATAATCCCAGTGCTTGGGAGGCTGAAAACAGTAGAATCACAAGTCTGATCTACATAGTGAGACCCTGTAGACCCTGTATCCCCTGTACTAAATGCATTTAAAAAAACTAAAATAAAAATAAAGTTCCAACATTTTTAATTAAAATTAATTTATAATTGAAAGCAACATTAATTTATTTGAACTGGTGAATGGCTCAGTCAACTCTAATGGGTCCACACCATGGACTACAACTCAGGTACAGCCATATGGGCAGATCTCCCATGAGAACTGTTGATGAAGAAGCCATACCCAAATTATTCACTTACATGACTTTGGAAAAGACAGAACTATGGAGTGAGGACAGACAAGGGCTGTCATGAGCTGACATTGAAGGAGCATCAGCAGCAGCCACAAGGAATATAAGATGTGAAACTGTCCTATGACATAGTGATAGTCAAATAACTATGTGAATCTGTCAAGATGAATTTTACTGTATATAAATACTTCAGTTTTTAAAAATTGTGATTAGTAACTGTTATGGTTTATATCTAGATGTCCCCATAAAGCCTCATGCATTCATGGGGGAGTAGGCTTTTCACAGGTGGCTGAATCCAGAGTGTGTAATGCTGGGATTAAGGGTGTGTGATCAGTTTACTGATTGATATGGCATCATCCTAATCCCAGCAACCTAGACAGAGTATAAAAGGGGCAGAAAGATGCTGTTAAAGTCAGTTGTTGATTCTGCTGTCTTACGTCCACCATGAACTGTTCTCTGCAAGGCTATCCTATCTTGGAGTCAGCTAATTAAGGACTGAAATGTCTACAAACTATGAGCCAAATACACTTTTCTTTCCTTAAGTTTGGGTGTCAGGTATTTTGTCTCAGCAACAAGAAAAGTAACTAGCCCCTGACCCTGCCAAAGACATGGAGTCTGAGGTCACACTACAACTCAACAGAATCCACATCAGAATTTACCTGATTTCTGTGCAGTTTTAAGTTTTGAAAACATTGAAGAAAAGGATCCACCAAATTGAAGCCCTCTCTGGGCAAAGTGCCTCAGTGAGGACTTGAGAAAAAGGACAGCTATTCCAATCATTATCACAAAGACACCAATAAATGAAGTAAAACACCAGGGAACAAAGCAGGAGATGTATCTCTAGGGAAACACAATCCTACAGTGCTGGGAATGGACCCCCAGCCTTACCTGCTACGCAGGTGTACTACCCCTGAGCTCCATCCCTAGAAGCACATCCTGATCTACTGATTCTATCACAGAACTGGGGTGCTACTAGCAGATATTTGATGTTTTTCTGGAAACTTTATTTAGACCAGAAAATATGTATTACAGCAATTTAAACTACTACCTTTTGGTACAACTATACACTAGTACAATTCTCACTACTATTGCCCTTCATGTTTCTGTGTTTTCTAAGCCCTCTTCCACCCTGCCCTGGAGAGCAGTGAAAGAGAATCTCAAGTGTTTCCTTAGCTGAATTCTTGAATTTAGTCTGCCTGTAGTGCTTATGTGAAAACATGGGCACCTCTGAATGTTTGACACCTAAATTAAGTCTACTGGAAGATCTGGGCATGCACTAAATGTCATCCTGGGAAAAAGAGCCCAAGGTAGCTGCTCATGTCCAGGTTTCCTATAGAGTCTATTGGACAGGGTTCAATCAGGTGCCCCCCAACACTCCCTGTGTCTTTACCTTCTGTACTCACCCCTCTGTCCACACCATACTCTGCTTCCATCCCCACAGCAACTTCTCTGAGTATTTTCTGTGTCCTGTGCAAAGTGTACGTCTTGCCCTCCATGTTTTCACCTGACCTGAATAGCACTATAACATGAATCTGTTTCCTACTTTCTTCACTAAACCCTCACTGCAAAAAGCATACCTGATGCAGTGCTCTGATTGTAGTGCCCTTGGTACCATATGCCCATCTCACCCTTATCTGCTTCATCTAAACCATGCACTAGAGACTCACAGACCCTGGTGCAGCCACTGCCCACCTGAGCATGCTCAATGTTGCAGCTACTATCCGCCTTGGGTGCAGGATACAACAGAATGGGTTTGTTTATAAAACTCAAACTTTTGCACAAATTTAAACCCATACTTTTTAAAACAGCATCATCTTTTTAAAAAAGTTTTCTCTAGAATATATTCAAATGTGACAAATATAAATGGAAATTAAAAGTTGCTCTATGAAATTAAAACTGATAAACTCCTATTTAAAAGCAGAGTAGTCAGCTGAACATGGTAGCACAGGCCTATGATCCCAGCATTCAGGAAGCTGAGGCAGGAGGATCATAAATTTGAGGGCAGCCTGGGCTACATAACGTGTTCAAGGCCAGCATGCACTAAAAAGTGAGACACTGTCTCAAAAAGTAAATAAATAAAAGCAGAACATCAATTTTCCAGAATATTTAAGAATTAAGGGGGCCAGGAAATTAGCTCAGTGGCATAAGCGCCTGCCTGGCAAGCGCAAGGTCCCGAGTTTGATACACAGTACTGAAAAAAAAAATTAAGCATTCACTTTTTAAAACAGTCCTCCTTATGTTCCCATTTCAAATGGATGCTGAATTAGTGAAGGAGCCCAAAGGGCACAGACCTATGAAACTTGCTGATCCCTGGATGATGCTTACAATTTACCAAAAGCCATCTCATTTTTTTTTAACCGAAACAACTGAACATAATGAGCTACAGATGCTCAACTTACAGTGAGACTGCATCCAATGATTGTACCTAAGTCAAATGCACCCTGAACTGATCAGGCATCCAATGCTAGCCTAGCTCTAGGAAGGTGCTTGGACACTGACTCCAGCACCTGGCTGCACATCAATAAACACCAGTATCACCAGCTTGGGAAAGGATCAATTTTTTTTCTTCGTTTTTGTTTTTTCATATATATAAAGCTATTTATTTCCTGTGAGAGCCGGAGAAGAAAGAGCTAGGGAGAGGGAGAGGGGATCGGGAGGGGGGAAAAATGATCAAATCTCAAAGTGTAGTTTCTACTGAAATGCCTACCACTTTTGAACCACAGTAAAACTGAAAAACCCTAAGTTTGTGTTCCACTTTCATGTGTGGCCAGTACCATCTTTCCACATGCCCAGCGCAGCAGAGTCCAACCCCATATACCGTGGAATGCCAAGCCTCTTACCACACGAGCAGGAGGGGCTGCAGTGGGAGTCTAAACACAAAGAGGCTCCCACCTATTCCCTCCTTCCAGGTTCAGCCCTCTCACACACCACAGAGACTAACATCAGAGTTGGCATGGCCCCACAGGTAGACACAGCTTGCTGGCAGAGTACAGAGATGCTGTAGAATTTTGGAAAGTCTGCTCCAACTGGGATGACATGCAGCTGCCACCCATCTCTTCTGCCATAGCACAACCTTGCACAGGACACCAACCCCAAGGGATCACCAATTCAGCAACCCCCTTTCTAAAACCTCCTTTCCAAGTACTGGACAGGGGGCCTGCCCCTTAGCTCAGATCTTTAAGTGGCTGCTTCAACAAGGCAGTCAGGCTTAGGTTGCTGTGGTTCGATCCCCACAACTCAAGCCAGCCAAACCTGCCCTGAAGGCATTGGGAGAAAAAAAAAATCCAAGTACTGGACAACTCTTAGGACAGGTGGACCCAACTGAGTGCTAGACAACTAGGGCTGCAGTCCCAAAAGATCACACACCTTTTAGTTTTATTATGATTATGTGAATTTTATATGTATATATAAATTAGCATTATTATGTTATTTTGAGACCAGGTCTTGCAATGTAGTAGACTAAGCTTGATCTCCCTTGGTAGCCCAGGCTGGCCTTAGACCTGCAATCCTCCTACATTAGCCTGCTAAGTGCAAATGCTACCATGCCCAGCTACCAACTCACAAGCATTAGGCAGTGAATGCATTCATTTAGTAGACAACTTAAGTCTTATTTAATTATTAAACTTGTGTTTGTTATACTGTTTCATATATATATATATATATATATATATATATATATATATAAAAGGACAATTCAATCAGGTAAAGGAAAAAAAAAAAGGCTAATTTAAGGTCAAAGATATGTTTGTGTTTTGCTAGAGCATGCTGTTTGGTTGTATCATGAAGTCAGATCCAGAGGAAGAAGCTGACAATGATGAGGCTAGATCTGACCTGGGGCCTACTGAAGAAAATGACCAAGAATGCTCAGGAGAATGGTAAACAAAATGCAAATCAAAGGTTTAAATAGGTGATAATCTAGTAGTCCATAATAGTAGTGGGTTATCTGTAGGACTGGCAATGTCAGAAGTTGTTGACTTGAGCTTTTTACAGCTCAGCATATTAATATGGCTTTACTTTTTATACCTCGTTTTTATACTTTTCTGTTGGATGGTTAAGACCAAGATAAAGATCTATATAACAAGAAATGTAATTTTTGTATCTGATAAGGTCAGTCAAATCCCCTCAGGATTTACCCTGAAACCCTGTACCACAGTTTGGAGATCCTTTGTCAGTGTCAGCCATGTGGATGAGTCATGGCCATTGCTTGACCAATTTGCTCTCTGTGAAAGCCTGAGAGAATATTTTCTCTTCATGTGACTCTCCTTAGGAACACTACACTGACAATCACTTTCCTCTGTGGTCCCATAATCTCCTTGATCAGTAAACTTGGGACACAACTGAGTTACAGGATATTACGCTGAGGACATGGGTACGGCCTGGTGTGAGATTTATACCCTCTCCCTGGATTTTCAAGGGACAGCAAGAGCTCACCAGACAATGCTGGAACTGCAACGGTTTCCAAGGCATAGGCCCCTCTCTCGGGGCAAACTCATTCCAGCGTGCCCTGCC